TTTTATTTCAGTCAGTGTCTGCTTAATTTCTAGTTGGCCCTTTTTCATAATGTCGAGGGTTTCACTAGATTTCCTGAGGGTCTCATTAAGTTTATTGGCGGTTTCTAGAGAATTCTTGAAAAACCTTAAAAGTGTGGTTTTGATCTCTATATCCAGTAGTTTGCTTTCCTCCATTTCTCTCATTTGTGACCTGTTTCTTTGTCTCTGCATTTTTTATGTTTCCCTGTGTTGATAGAGTGTCTTCCTGTGTTAGGTGTCCTATAGGGTCCAGTGGCTCAGCCTCCCCAATTACCTGAGGTGGACACTCTTGGTGCACCTCTTTGTGGGCTTTGTGCACAGTATTGTTGTAGTTAAGCCTTGATTGTTTGTTGTAGGTACCACTGGGAGGAATTGACCTCTAGGCCAATTGGCTGTGAGAATCATCTGTGTCTGCAATGGGAGAACTTCTGTGCTGGAGACACCCTTCTGGGGCAAGACTTGCTTCAGTGGGGCTTTGGTGCTCACTGAGTCTTCCCCCTGAATGTGTCCCTTATGGATGTGAGGAGTTGTAATCTGGATGGTCCCACCCTGACCACTGGGTACACTGGCTCTTTGATCTCTAAGGAGGTGCTAATTTAGCCTCTGCCTGAGGCTACCTGGCAGGAGACCAGCTGTGAAGCAATGCAAGCTGCTGTGGAGCCTTGGGCCTTCTTTTGGAAGTTCTGGGTTTCTCTGACCCAGCTGCAGTTTGTTAGGTAATTTTCAGTTTGCAAAGGGCCAGGCCTTTCATATGCAAAGGCCTCTGTGCACAGCTTGGGTGGGGTGGGGTCTCTGGGGATCAACAGGGTGGAGCAAGCAGCTATGGCTACTCCTCAGTCCTACCCTAAGAGGCCCTGTTCTTAGTTTCCCAGTAATCGCTGCAAGTACCTCTGAGAGAAAGCCACCCTTGTGTTCCGACCAATGCCAGACAGTCCAGTTTCTCCTGTATGAGTCTGGGTCCCCAGAGACTTGCCCGGAACTGGGGTTCAGAGCACTCTGGAGCTTGAGACTTCCTCCAGATTGAAAAAGACAACCATGTCCTCAGTTTCCAGCCCTTTCCACGTGCACCGCATCCTCAGCTGCCAGCCCTTTCCGTGTGCGCCTCCGTACCTCTGCACTTTACTTCCACACTGCACCTCCTCTGAGTCTCAGTGTGCTTTTCTCTTTCCTTTTAGTTGTAGAATTTCCACTCAGCCAGCCTTCCTGTGGTTCTGGATGATGTCCGTTTTGTCTTTTAGTTGTATTTTTGAAGTGGTTGTGCAAGGCAGCAATTTCCAGTGTTTACCTATGCCGCCATCTTGGTTTCTCTCCATTTTTATTCTTTATGCCTGTGTTCCTTCTTCCCTTCCTATTTCTTCTTTCTACAGCAATCCCTTTAGCATTTATTGCCTTGCTGACTTAGTCGAGTGTTAACCCATGTCCCCAAGTGACATGGACTGGGTGTAGCACAGTTTCCTTCTGATCCTCTAGTCCCAGTGGTCACATGTCTCTCCTTCCAGCCAGATCCTTGATCCTACCATTCTCCAGGTATCCCCCGTTCTTTCTGGCCATGGATTGTGTCCCTAGCTGTGTTTAATTCACAAGTTCTGAGTGGATGTTATTTGATTCAGCTGTTTCTTCTATCTGCTCTGTGAGAAGGTGCAGGACATGTCCACCTATTCAGCCGCCACCTTGTTTCCTTCTAATCTAGACAAACATTTTAGGAGCCCGTGGCCAGGTAGGCTAGAGTCTCGGTGTTCGTGGGTTGGCAGCCGAGGCAGCAGGTCCCTGGCCGATGTGGCTGTAGGGTCCTGGGTGGTGTCTGAGGTCTCGCCGGGTCGAGGTGAGGCTGGGCTCCCAGTCACAGCTGCTCTCCCCTTCAAGATGGCATGGTCTCTGTGGCAGGGCTGACCACCCCAGGAAAGATTGCAGCGGTAGTAGAGGTTGCCCGGCTAGGGGAGCCTGGTCCACCAGCCCCCAACATCCAGTGGAATGTAACTGTCACACACACACACACACACACACACACACACACACACACACACGCCACACATGTCCACACACTCCCTTTTTGCTACCTCACTCACATTTTCTCCCTCACTGCTGTCCTGTGAGCCGCCATCTTGGATCTCTGTGCCAGTGATGAGAATTATTGATTGGCTGCCCCCTGCATGGCCCCTACTGGGAATTGAGCCTGAAACCCAGGCATGTACCCTGACCAGGAATTGAACTGTAACCTCTTGGTTCATGGATTGATGTTCAACCACTTAGCTACACCTGCCGGGGTGAGAAACTTTTAAATAACATTACATGAGTGTTTTGACTTCTAATTGCCAGTGGGAATTAAATGATTTCCAAATCATTTTCCTAGTAGATTGTGAAAATATTTTTTGATTCCTTATTAAATGAAGTTCTAGTTTTCATGAAAACATGTCTAGATTTGCAAAAGAGGAATGGAATCAATGTGACGTGGTGGAAAGAACAAAGGACAGGGAATTAAAAAACTGAGACTGTAGTCCTTTTTTTTTACTTTTATAGCTGTGTAGTCTTGGGAACCTTAATTTATCAGTTACTATTGTTTTACTGACAATGGAGGGAGCATTAATGGCTGTCCTGCCTTCCTCACAGGATTCTGAGGAGGATCACTTGGAAATATTGAAAAATGACTTGCTGTAACAGCCATTATCAACCCCACTTGTTCCAAAAAACACCCACCGCTGATAATCCTCTTCCCCAAAAATCAAATACTCTTTCCTTTTTTTGAAACATTCCTAAACTTCTGCTTGCCTTATTACAGTCAACCAAGGACCACCAGTTTATCTGAAGACCAGTTAGATTGAAAGTCCTTTTACTTCCAGGAATCCCATCATAGTAGAATACTTGCTAATCAGAGATTCTCTCAGAATTTCCTGTATAAAACTTAGTCTTCTTTCTAAAACTTTTAAACATCTGCTGAAAAAAATATGGGTTTTTTTGTTATACATTTATGTTTTTGTAAATTTTTCTTGGGCTTAAGGTTTTCATTGGTAACATCTACATATCAGCATTTATAATGAGTGAATGCTAAATAAATGTAAGACTACTGCTGTAGAACTTAAAATTTGTTGAAGAAGATAGCAAAACTGAAAATAAAATTTTAAGGCATCAAACTTAAAGTTCATTAGGAAAATCGAAGTATAAGGAGATAACTGTTTTCAGGCTTCAGAATCTAGGCAAATCACGTTTGCTAATAGCCATCATTTATAAGTTATGTATAACATTTTAGATACAATAGTGTATCTCTGGAGGTTGACTGTCTGGCTTTGATTGTTGGCTTCACTATTTACTAGCTGTATGACTGACCTAGGACAAATTTTTCAATAAATGCTAACATTTATGGAGCACTTACTATAAGTCAGGCACTGTAATAGACATCTTTTGTGCATCATTTCATTGAATTCTCAATGAGATTGGTATTATCATTCCCATTTTAAAGAAATTTCAAAAGGGAAGTAATTTTCCCAAGATTACATACCTAGCAATTTCTACATCAACAAAACAAGATATGTTAATAACATTTAGGTCAACTTGTTGAAATGATTACATGAGACAAAGCACATAAAGTGATTGTTTAACACACTGAAAAATAAGAAGTATTCAGTAAATATTTTGTTATTATAATTGCTTTTGTCACTTTTACAAGGTGAGAATAATTGTCTACATTATTAAGATTAAGAAGCTTCAGCTGACCTTAAAGAACCAAACCAAACATAACATTGGGAAGGATGAATGACATATTGGTACTCTAAAATAGAGACCATTAGATTAGCCAGAGGAAAACGTTCATAAGCTTTTTTTGCATGGAAAACCAAAATGCTCCTTAACTTGAATCCTTACAATTGACACAGAAGAATGTCAAGGAGAAGAAGACATTGATAGTTTCTCTTGGGAGACAGCTAGAGGCAGTTGTAAAACACATGCAATAACTGTGAGAATTATGATGCCACACCATTGAGTGGTTGGGTTTGGGGAAGGAATATACCTACAGATGAGTCATTGCAGTTCAAGAATTACCTCATTTGAAGGATAAACATTTAAAGCTGTGATATACAGGGAGTCTTATACTAGTATGCCTCAATATTTGAAATACTAGCAAGTTGTAGATTAGTGAGTTATTTGAAGGACTGGGGAAAATGATTGTAGCATCTAGCTTTTAGTCTACCATTGTAGGGTCTGGTTATAAAGATTAATAAAACACAAGTCAAATAAGTTTTGATAGTCAGTGAGGTAATGTAGCAAGACCTGGATCACTGTTTGGAATTAATAATCCCAGTAGGAGTGGTGCTGGGAACAGACTTCAGAAGCTAAAGGGTTCCCTGAGGCTATCTATCTATCTATCTATCTATCTATCTATCTATCTATCTATCTAAAAGCCTAAATGACCAAATGACTGAACAACCGGTCAAGTGGTCGTTATGATGCACATTGACCACCCTGCAGACGCTCAATGCAGGAGCTGCCCCCTGGTGGTCAGTGTGCTCCCACAGCCAATCTCCTGCAGCTACTCCTCTGGCCGGCACCGATCGGTCCCAATTGCCTGCCAAGCCAAGGGACCACACCGTGCATGAATTCATGCACCAGGCTTCTAGTAAAAGAGTAAAGCAAGAGGTTAAGAAAGCGATAGACAGGGATATCAAAGACAAATTGTGCTTAGTTCATAATTTTCTTCATTCCACTCAATGTTTCCATTTACCTAATTCCTATTGATTAATTGATATAAGTACTTTAAGTGCCAGGCATTGTGAAACTGATGGGGATTTTAAACCAGGTAGGAGAGGAGTAGGGTCATTTCAGGCCAATGAGTGAGCTATTTTACGGCTTGCATGGCCACTTAAACTGCACTAGTCATTTAACCTCTGGGTCTCAGTTACTTCAACTGTAAAATGAAGATGTTGAACTATGTAATCTCTGGGGAACTTTGCAGGATGAAAATGTTAATGATTTTTCTTTTGCTTACTTTTAAGGAAAAGGTATAATTTTGTTTGGTTAATAAAGAATCAAGAAGTGGACAGACCAAGATGGCGGCATAGGTAAACACCTGTACTTGCTGCCTCATACAACCACATCAAAATTACAACTAAAATACATAACAACTATCATCCAGAACCATGGGAAAGCTGGCTGAGTGGAATTACTACAACTAGAGAGGTAAAGAAGAAAGTTCAAGATTGGTATGAGGTACGGAGGCATGGAATGGGCTGGCACCCAGGTGTGCCACTCTTTTAATTGGGAGGGATATACAAGCTCCCACTTGCTCTGAGCTCCAGTGCCGGGTGAGACTCTGGGGGACCCAGACACATATGGGGAGAAACTCGACTGTCTGTCATTGGGGCAGGAATGTGGGGCGGCTCTCTTCCAGACGGAGTTGCTTGCAATGGTCATGGTTCCTGTGCTGGGACCTCCCCCCGTGCAGGGCTGACTGGAAGCCATTGCTGTTTGCTCTGCCCTGGAGATACCCTGAGACCCTTCCCGATCCAATTTACAACTCCCCTCAAGCTGTGTGCAGTGGCTTTTGCATATGAATGGCCTGTCCTTTCTCAGACTAAAACCTGTCAAACAAACTGCAGCTGATTCAGGGAGCTCCAAAGCTATCAAAAGAAGGCCCAAGGCCAGCACCAGCAGCAGCTTGCCTTGCTTCACAGCTGAGCCTCATCTGGGCACTTCCAAACCTGATATAAAGAGGAGGAATCTTCAGATCTCTCTATAGCTCCTGCTGGGTGGCCCCAGGCAGTGGGTGACTTTGCACCTCCTTGGAGATCCAAGAGCCAGTGTACCCAGTGGTCAGTGCGAGACCATACTAGCCTACAACTCTTCACATCCATAAGTGACACACTCAAGGGGCAGACTCAATGAGCACCAAAGCCCCACTGAAGCAAGTCCTGCTCCATAAGGGTGTCTCCTGCACAGCAGCTCTTCCATTGTAGACAAAGCTGGTCCTCACAGCCAATTGGCCTGGAGGTCAATTCCTCCCAGTGATACCAATAGCAATCAAGGCCCAACTATAACAAGACTGTGCACACAGCCCACAAAGGGGTGCACCAAGAGTGTCTACCTCAGGTGATTGGGGAACCTGAGCCACTGAGCCCTATAGGACACTTACTACAAAGTCCACTCTATCAACTTAAGGAGACTTAGCAGCTACCCAATACATAGAAACAAGCACAGGGAAGCAGCCAAAATGCGGAGACAAAGAAACATGTCACAAAAGAAATGGAAGAAAGCAAACTACTGGATATAGAGTTCAAAACCACAGTTATAAGGTTACTCAAGAATCTTCTAGAAACCTCCAAGGAACTTAGACCTTCAAGGATCTTAGTGAGAACGCAAAAAAAAAAAAAAAAAAAAAAAAAAAAGGGAAAGGACCAATCAAAAATTAAACATACACTGACTGAAATAAAGAATGATATACAGAGATTCAAAGTAGACTAGAGGATCCCAAGAATCAAGTCAAAGGTTTGAAATACGAGGAAGCAAAAAAACACCCAACTGGAAGAGCAAAAAGAAAAATGAATCCAAAAATATGAAGATAGTGTAAGGAGGCTCTGGGAAAACTTCAAACATACCAACATCCAAATTATAGGGGTGTCAGAAGAAGAGAGAGAGAGCAAGATATTGAAAACCTATTTGAAGAAATAATGAGAGAAAACTTCCCCTACCTGGTGAAAGAAATAGACTTATAAGTACAGAAAGCACAGAGAACCCCAAACAAGAAGAATCCAAAGAGGACCACACCCAGACACATCATAATTAAAATGCCAAGGACAAAAGACAAAGAGAGAATCTTAAAAGCAGCAAGAGAAAACAGTTAGTTACCTACAAGGGAGTACCCATATGGCTGTCAGCTGATTTCTCAACAGAAACTATGCAGGCCAGAGGGGAGTGGCAAAAAATATTCAAAGTGATGAATAGCAAGAACCTACAACCAAGATTACTCTAGCCAGCAAAGCTATTATTTAGAATTGAAGGTCAGATAAAGAGCTTCACAGATAAGAAAAAGCTAAAGGAGTTCATCACAACCAAAGAAGTATTATATGAAATGCTGAAGGGTATTCTTTATGAAGAGGAAGAAGAAGAAAAAGGTAAAGATAAAACATTATGAACAACAAAGTGACAACAAATACATATCTATCAACAAGTGAATCTAAATATCAAATGAATAAAAAATATGAGAACAGAATAAACTAGTCAATGTAATAGAATCAAGGGCATGGAAATGGAGTGAACTGACAAGTCTCAGGGGGAAGGGGTGTGGGGGTGTGCGGGAAGAGATTGGACAAAGATCTTATATGCATGTATGCAGTACGTATGGATGTGGACAGTGGGGTGGCAAGAGCCTGGAGTGGGGTGGGAACCAGATGCAAGGGAGCTATGGAGGGAATAAAAGAGGGACATCTGTAATAATCTGAACAATAAAGATGAAAAAAAGAGAAATTAACAGCAAAAAAACAGCATAAAAATAAAATATATAACAAACAAACAAACAAAAAGATTCAAGAAAAGAAGCTTACATCTTAGAAGGGTGCCTGCAAATGGATAGGAGCATACCCAAACACACATTTTAAGGATATCATAAAAAAAAACAAAACTAATAAAACCAGCAAGGGAAGTAAAGACAAAAATAAGTGAATGGACACCAAACTAAAAAGCTTCTGCACAGCAAAACAAACTGCCAACAAAACAAAAGGCAACCAACTGAATGGAGAAGATATTTGTAAACAACAGCTCTGACAAGGGGTTAATATCCAAAATATATAAAGAACTCATACAACTCAACCCCAAACAAAGTAACAATCTAATTAAAAAGTGGGCAGAGGACCTGAACAGACACTTCTCTCAGAAGACATACAAATGGCCAACAGACATATGAAAGCATGCCCAACTTCACTAGCTTTTTAAGGGAATGCCAATCAAAACTGCAATAAGATATCACCTCACACCTGTTAGAATGGCTATTACCAACAAGACAAGTAATAAAATTGTTGGAGAAAAAGGAGCCTTCATTGACTGCGTGTGGAAATATAAACTTGTACAGCCACTATGGAAAACAGTATGATGGTTCCTCAAAAAATTAAGAAAAGAGTTATCATATGACCTAGCAACCCCTTTTCTAGTTACCTACCTGAAAAATTTGAAAATATTTATTCTCAAAGATATATGCATCCTTATGTTCATTGCAGCATTATACACATGGCCAAGACATGGAAACAACCAAAGTATTCTTCAATAGACGATTGGATAAAGAAAATGTGGTACACATGTACAATGGAATACTACTCAGCCATAAGGAAAGATGAAATATTGCTATTGTAACAATATGGATGGACCTTGGGAATATCATGTTAAGTGAAATAAGTTAGAAAAAGAAAAGAACCATATAATTTCACTAATGTGGGCTATAAAACTGAAACTCATAGGCACAAATAACAGTATGGTCGTTACCAGAGAGAAATGGGTTGTGGATAGTAAACGGTAAAGGGGGCCACATATATGGTGATGGAAGATTATTTGACTTTGGGTAGTGGGCACACAATGCAGTATACAGATCATGTGTCATAGAATATACACTTGAAACTTACATAATCTTATTAACCAATATCATTCCAATAAATTTTTTAAAAAGTACCAAACTGAGTGTATCAGCAAGAGTATGGGTATTATAATTTTTTATTTTTAACTTTAAGAAATAGAATAAGGTAGCCCTAACCGGTTAGGCTCAGTGGATAGAGCGTCGGCCTGTGGACTGAAAGGTCCCAGGTTCGATTCCAGTCAAGGGCATGTACCTTGGTTGCGGGCACATCCCCAGTAGGAGGTATGTAGGAGGCAGCTGATCGATGTTTCTCTCTCATCAATGTTTCTAACTCTCTATCCCTTTCCCTTCCTCTCTGTAAAAAAATCAATAAAATATATTTAAAAAAAGAAAGAATAAGGTATATTATTTCAACTTTCAGTTGTTTAAATAATACAATAGTAATGAGATTGATAATTTTCTGATAATGCTTCTTGGTCATTTGAGTTTTTTCTTCAGCAAATTACTTTTGAAAGTGCTAATGCCATCCCAATAAATTTAATTAAAAATACTAATAAAACTGAAGTGAGTGACATAGATATATCCAGCTTACAAATTATTTTTGTCTTTGCAGTATGAAAAAACATAATAACACATGCTTTTAAAAGAATCTTCTGGCTAAAGATGAGGGGATGTAGTAATTTATGTAAGAAAAGTTCAAATTTTATTTACACAAAATAATAGCATTGTTTGCTCTGTATCCTTGTATCCTTGAGAGTATTTCATTCCTTAGTTTCTTGCCCATAGTTTTATGTAATTTTATTCTAAAGATTTTTCATTTTGCCCTGACCAGTTTGGCTCGGTGGATAGAGCGTCGGCCTGCGGAATGAAGGGTCCCAGGTTCGATTCCAGTCAAGGGCATGTACCTTGGTTGCAGCACATCCCAGTTGGGGGTGTGCAAGAGGCAGCTGATCGATGTTTCTCTCTCACCGATGTTTCTAACTCTCTATCCCTCTCTCTTCCTCTCTGTAAAAAATCAATAAAATATATTTAAAAAAAAGATTTTTCATTTTCATAAGTATTTATTTCAGAAAGATCAAAATCAAGATTCCCTAAACTCACTCTCAGGAAGTATTTAAATCTAATTTTTCAGATTACTCAACCACTGCCAAAGTTACTTAGACAACTTATTATTTAAGAAGCTTTATGAATTTTAAGCTTTATGTATGGCCAGCTGACACTTTCTCATGAGATGTGGAACTAAGGCAGTGTGATTCCATTCTTTTTCATTAGTGGAGTGACAAGACTTACTGGAAACTGAAACAATGGGGTCATACATTGAATGAAGAAAAAGGAAAAAAGCAAGGCTGGAAAACTCTAAGCCCAAACTAAACATTCATGATGTCCTATAAAGAGATTAGGTTTCTGAGTAACAGAATGTTATTTAAGAGAAACTGCTGATGAATTTAAAAAGTTAGTAGCAAAAACAGGAGAGTTAAGGAAGAGAAGACAGGATTAAGAAAAAAATTAAAATAAGATGTTCCTCTTGTCTTGTGCAAATAGAAGGCCTTAATGTTTTTCAAAGTGATTTGTATAAGCTGTTTATGCTTATCAGTGGCGTACACAAAAGGAATAGGTTATCAACTTGTGGGGCAGCTGGCCACCCCCCTCCGGCCCCTCCCCCTGGCCAGCCCTGCCCCCAATTGGCCCGCCCCACTCTGATTGGCCCTCGGCCCCTCCCTTGTCTGGCCCCGCCCATGATTGCCCCTCCCCCCAGCAATAGGGGGTGTGGCCAGCCAGCCAACCTCCTGCAGCCCCTCCCCTCAGCCAGCCCCACCCCAGATCGCCCCCCCCCCACCCCAATCAGGGGCAGGGCCGACTGGCCAACTGCTTGCGGCCCTTCCCCCTGACTGGCCCCACCCCTGATGGCCCCCCCCACCCCATTAGGGGGCGGGGCTGGCCGTCTCCTCCTCCCCCCGACAGGCCCAGCTCCTATTTGCCAAGTCAGTCTGAACTCCCCACCCCTGTGCACAAATTCGTGCACTGGGCCTCTAGTTTCCAAATA